GCAATCGCTGGCATCAGCGTCTTAGGGGGGGACCTCGTTATGGTCGTAGTCGCCGTCGCGGCGGGCGTCGTCTTCGTCTCCGTCGGGGCGGGAGTCTGTCGCGGGGGCCATCGTTGAGGCCACTTCGGGGGGGGGGGCGCAGCGGGGCCCGTCGCCCAGATCCCGTCGTGGCAGGGCGTCGTGGCGGTGGGCCGCGGTAGCCGTCGGGTTTGGCAGGGGGTCGTGGGGGCATTCGGTCGGGGAATCGCGGGGCACTGGATCGTTGGGTCAGCGGCCTGGTCGTCCGTTCTGGCATACTGTCCAGCTGTCCGCGAGGGAAACAGTGCCCGCGTAGCCGAGGCTTGCCCAGTTTGGGGTCGGGCGCGGAGCGCGCGTCGGGTAGGGAATGGGTCGGGGCGTCGGTCTGCAGGTCGGCGAGAGCGTCGGGAAGGGCGTCGCGAGGGGCGTCGGCGTTGACGGGTCGGTCGGTCTGTCCGCGCGCCCGTCTTGGCAAACGCTGGGATCGGCGTCTTAGGGGGGGGGCCTCGTTATGGTCGCGGTCGCCGTCGCGGCGGGCGTCGTCATCGTCGCAGTCGGGGCGCGGCCGTCGCGGGGGCCAACGCGGGGGCCGCCGCCGGGGGCCGTCGCAGCGCCCCGTCGCGGAGGCATTCGCCGGGGCCGTTTCGTGAGGCCGTCGCGGGGCCCGTCGCGCAGTGGCCGTCGCAGGGGGCCGTCGTGGCGGTGGGTCACGGGAGCCTCGGGCTGGGTGGGGGGTCGTGGGGCCGTCGGGGAAGTCGGGCGCGGGGTCCCTTTGAGCGGCCCTGGTTGTCTCTATGACCATCTCCCCACGCATGCCCTCCACGGGCCCCCGCTCAGGGCGCGCAGCCGCTCAGGACCTGGATGGGGGAGGAGGAGGAGGAGGAGGAGGAGGAGGAGGAGGAGGAGGAGGAGGAGGAGGAGGAAGAGGAGGAGGAGGAGGAGGAAGAGGAGGAGGAGGAGCAGGAGCAGGAGCAGGAGCAGGAGGAGGAGGAGGAGGAGCGAGCGAGCGAGCGGGCGAGCGAGCGAGCGAGTCACCTTGGCAGCAGTTCGGCTTCGGCGCGTCGAGCACGGGCCTGCGAGGATCGGGCGCCTCTCAGCGCCCAGTGTCTGTGGGCGAGGAGGCAGCGCGCCTGGGGGAGCCCGCGAGGGCCTATAAAGCCTCGGGCCCCTCGTCGGCCCTAGGCCGTCTCAAACCGCCAAATCCTCAGCAAAACGAGACGGCGAAACTCTAGGCTCAACCCTCTCACGACCTGCATTCATGCGAGCATGTACGTGCTTAGTGGACGCTAGGGCATCAAGATAAGAGTATTATGCGCATCGCGAGCTCGCTGACGCAGATGTACTCGAGATCATTGAGCGTGAAACGACGGCGCGTTGCGCATCATCAGTTTCGTTCACTGCCCCGAGAAAGCAAACATCGTAGCCGTGCAAATCCAAGATGAAGAGGATCAAGTATGTGCTTCATCTCTGCGTTCTGGATGGATCTAGCAGATGTGTATCTATCTATATATATATAGAGAGAGAGAGAGATCCGCCAGTCGCCGTAGCCGCTGACATGGAAATACGCTCGACACCATAAAGTAAAGATGTCCACGCAGTCTGGGTCATTATGCATACGTACCTGGCGAACGCGACGTAGCTGGATGGGGAAAGGAACCGCTAGCGTAATCCCATGCGTGTCACCATATCTCTGTTTCGCGTGCTTCCCTTTTCGGCCTGTGTGCGAAGTCCATCTACATTTCCATCTGCGCATCTCCTATCTGGCGCGCTCGGAGCTGGTTCTGACTTGCCCTCTCCAGCGCGCTCGGCGGGCGGACCCCTGAACTGTCTTATCTCCCACGTGTAGGATGGCGCGGTGAACAGCTTGGCAGAACTGCTGGAACTTGGTCGCCGGTGGCTTGATCTGCTCTTGGTTGGACCCGCCCGTGCTCTGCCCCCGCGCCTTGTTGGCTGCTGCGACAACCCGCTCGTCCAAAAACGGGCTGGCTGCGAAAACGTCGCGCGTGATCTGCGCCGTGTACTTCTTCACCTGGCCCTTCTCGCTGCACGCTGCCTCGCCGCGGAAGTGAGGCATCAGGTCACCCGCGCGCTGGCGCGACATCTTGTTCTTCGAAATAGCGATAGTGCCTGGGACCGCTTCGGACGGTCTCGGCGGCTCCGGTGGCGCCTGGCCCCGTGGATGGCGATCGCGGTATATGTATGTGAAGGCTGGCCAGGTCCTTCTCTCCTGTTTTGGTCTTCTCGGCATAGGCTGCCCCCGCCTCCGTTGCCTCGCCCGTCGCCACGTTATGCGGTGCCAGGTCGGAGTCCCAGACCGAGCCCGCCAGGTGCTCCGACATCTGCTCGTTGTTGCGAGCGGCCCTCTGGGGCGTCGCCACCTCGTCGCGCGCGACAGGCAGGCTTATAAGGATGAACCAGCATGAAAGCGCGATGGGTCACAGATGAAATTGCCCACTCTAATATTTACTGTATTGTGAGATATCGTGCGGCGCCCCGTGGGTAACTGGTAACAGAAAACTCCCTGCCGTGGTTACGCATCACCTCTGGATTCCAGGCGTGGAAGCGTCGACGAGATCTGCGGCCGCCAATGAGTGTCCCGTAGAGGTCTCCCGATCGGCCCGATCGTCTCTCTCCCCGACTATAGCGTTCGCATGTGCCGTGGCGTTCTCGATGGCTGCGCGCAACGCTTCAGAAGTCACTTCCCTGGCTGGACATGCCTGCGTTTGGACTATGCCCGAGGTACTTCATCTGGCCGAGGCGATCATTCTGTGCACGATCCATTGCGAGTCCTGGGGCATTGGGATTGGGGGGAACTGGCATTCCGTTGCCAGCTCCGCCCAATCCATTGGTATTGCTCCGACTCCACCGCCTTCAGCTTTCTGAGCGAACCCGCTGATAGCCTCGTCGACACTCTTGCTCTACTTGGTCTCGAAAACGAAGCGCTTCTTCGGCACTTGCCTCGTGCCTGGAAGCGATATCTTGTGATTGTGAACTTGAGACCAGTCGCGTCGCTGCCAAGCTCGTTCTGGCTCCTCGGTCGTCTCGTTGCGCCTCCTTAGTGCGTGGCGTCTGCGGGCTGCTTGCAGTTCGCGCGTAGGCATGCCCCAACGGGCACATGCAACATCATGCTATGACTGATGTGGGTCGGCCTCATCGAACGCCTTGCCCTTTCCATTTCCAAGTCTTTCCCGAAAGTTAGGACACTGCTTGACCAATGTAACTCTCCCGCTGCGTATGTACTCATCTGTGTTTGACGGGTGCTCGCCTGCTGGGAAGAACTTGACCAAGCTTTCGTGAACGTGGTCTCGCGATAAACCCCTCCCGCCTTGCAAACCACTACGTTCCCACAGTTCTCTCCAGGTAGCCTCGGGCATCTCCTCTGCAAGCCGCTCGAGCTCTTTCAAGTAGTCGAACCGCTGATGTCCACGTCTGTGCGTCCCTTTGAGAGATCCTCGATGGACCTGTGGATGATGGGAGCTCTTGTGCCCGTTCACGTGAATGTCAGTCTTCATCAGGAAAGGCACACGTTCCTGCAAGATTGCAATGCTGCGCCTTTGGAGCCTCCTTCCAGGCAGTCGTAAAGTTTTCATTGTGGTTACTCTCTGCAGGCGCGCCGTCGGGATATTGTAATGATCGATCTTCATGCTGGCAACACGAATGTAGTACAGCGGCCCAATGCCCCAGAAGCTGCTTCCCGCGGACACGTGGCCCCCCTCGTGGGCGCAACGGATTCGCTGGAATACTGCGGTCTCCATGCCAGGGCTCTTCAAGTCAACAACGTCATCTGTTCGATAAGATTTGTTTTTGTGTCCAGTGAAGGTCTCTGCATATTCCGAAAATACAATTGAATTCTGCGCCCGAAATGACTAGGCACTGGTGTCCGACTTTGCCGCCCGTCTGTGAACCACGTCATGCACTTGCCAACCGCCTCTTTCAGGATGGATGGTGTGGTTCCCTTCGGTGGCGAACAGAGACTGGAAAGAAGGCCACGGTTGTAGATCCACTACGGAACTGTGGCGTTGCGATACGTCCTGCAATTCCTTTCGATCTTGGTAGGAACTGCATCTGCTGCAAGGTGCCTTTCTGCGTGGTGTTATATAGCACATCTAGTCCGCAGGGCCAGTTTGACCATCTGGAATTCCGACAACAATTTTGCACAATTGTGTGGTTGAAGAGCGTTGTCTGGACCACGTCCTCGTGCTTCATGGTCGCACGTCCCGTGCCGTTGAGCACCAATATGTCGACAGTCGGCCCAAGGAGTCGATATTTCTTCCAGCCGTGTGTAGTCTAGGACGGACGAGGACCACGAAGACGAGGACGAGGAGGAGGAGGAGCAGGAGGAGAAGCAGGAGCCCGCCGAAGGGCAGACGGCGCTGGCCGTGGGCTGGCCATAGGCTTCTATGGTCGCTTCCCTGGGCATGCCCTCCTCTGGCTCCCCCGCAATGCATGCAGCCAGTCGGGGCGCGGTCGTCGTGGGGGCCGTTGGGCGGGGGGTCCCAAGGCCTCCTGGCGCGTGGCTGGCGCAACCAGATTCATAGTCAACTGCCGGCCTCGCGCTGCCTGCACACGCGATCGTGCACCTGCGGGAGAGCCTCCTCCGCCCCCTCCTCCTCCTCCTCCTCTTCGTCCTCCTCCTCCTCCCCTCCTCTTCCTCCTCCTCCTGCTCCTCCTCCTCCTCCTTCTCCTCCTCCTCTTCCTCCTTCTCCTCCTCCTCCTCCTCTCCTCCTCCTCCTCCTCCTCCTCCTCCTCCTCCTCCTCCGCCTCCTCCTCCTCCTCCTCCTCCTCCTCCTCCTCCTCCTCCTCCTCCTCCTCCTCCTCCTCCTCCTCCTCCTCCCCTCCTCCTCCTCCTCCTCCTCCTCCTCCTCCTCCTCCTCCCCCCCCCCTCCCCCCCCCCTCCCCCCCCCCATCCCTCCTCCTCCCCCATGCAGGAGGAGGGCCTCCCCAGGCGGAGGCGTCACGCGGGAGCTTTGGGCGGCCCGAGCCTGCCGGGCCTCCCGCTGGATGTCGGCTCCGTAGCGGACCTGGTCGATCAGCCACTCCACCCACCTCGCAGCGGCCAGAACGATATCTCTCTCTCTCTCTCTATTGTGTTTATCTCTCCCCAGAGATCCAACGCTTTGAAAAATCAGCACGAAGGTTTTTCGAAGTGTTCGGCATCTAGGGGCCCTCGCCGGGCCCCAGGACCGTCAACCAACGACTCAAGATGAAAAACCGGTCCCGGGGAATGGGTCGAGACTTCTGGGAAAGCCCGTGTTGAAAAAATCACGACATCGGATCAGGGTTTGGGGCTCTTCTGTGCCCGATGATCTCGAGCCCTCCTAAATGGAGTCCCCGAGTAGATGGGGTCGCAGGATCGCGCCGCATTGCCGATGCCTCGCAGATGCATCGTCAACGCATGGCCGACGCATCAGCGACGTGAGCGATGCATCGGCACCGTCTGCGAGGAGAAAATCGGGCTCCACATCGAGCCGTGTCGGCGATGAATCGGCGATGAGGCGCGATGATCCGCCCCAACCGTGGCGCCCCCCGCGGCGACCTCTCGCGGGCGGCCTGCGCGCGGCATTTACGCGCAGGCGGCCCGCTCTTTGCCTGCGCAGCTCACGTTGCCGCCGCCGGGAACTTCGGCCGCCACCCTCGAGCTGCTGGAGCCGGAGCTCCAGGGGAAACGCGCGCCGGCGGGGACGCAACCGGGCCGGGCCTGGCCCAAATCATTGGATGCCAGATGTTTCGGGCACCGACCGGTCGAGACCGATCGTCACTTCGAATCGGTCGCGAACGATTGGTCGTGACCGGTTTTCAAGCGGGTACGGGTCGCGACCGATGCGGGAATTTGCAACAAAATCGGCGGCGACCGATCTCGTCAGTCGCGGCCAGAAAAATCTGGCATCACATATTGGAGGCGCGCACACAGGGGTGGAGGGAGGGGGGGTAGCCGTATAAGACGGCGGCGCGCTTCGTTGAAGGCAGGGGCCTCCTCAGAAGGGCCTGGACGCTTGCAAGAAGGCTCCAGAAGCAGCGGGGGGGACTCCAAGAAGACCCCCTGCCTTCTTGGAGGCTCCCCCGCCTTCTGGGAACCCAGGAAATCGGGCTCCGCATCGAGCCGCATCGGCGATGCGTCGGGGATGCCGCGCGATCCTCCCCCCCCCCCCGCTGCTCGGATCCCCGGCGAGAGAAAAACCCTCCCGCCGCGAGCTTGGCGCATGCCCCGAGGGGGTGTCTGGGGAGGCCGCCCCCCTCGCCGCGCCCAGTCATTGCCCCCCCTCGTGAGTGCGGATGCCACCACTGCCGAACGAAAGCAGCCGCGCCCAGACGGCGCACTGGCAAGCCAAAAAACAACACGTGCGATCGGGGAAAATGCAGGCCAGGAGCGTGCAAGCGCTCGGGCATCGCCGTGCCTCGGATGGCAATGCACAGGCATGCCGGTGCAGCGCGATGGGTGGACGGCAAAGCACCGGCCAGGGGGGGGAGGGGAAAGGAGGGGGGGAGGGAGGAGAGAGGAGGGGGGGCGAGGACGAGCGCGTTCCACGACTCGCAAAGTGACCACTCGCAAATGGCCTGGATCCGCCCGGGGGGGATCTTCGAGAAATGACATCGAAGCAGACCTGATTTTGTCTCGGACGTTTGCGAGTATAGGCACTCTGCGAGTTGTGGAGCGCGCTCGGTGAACAGAGGTGGGGCAGCAGCAAAGGTAGGGTTGGAGGGAACATCGCTCGGGACGGCCCCTGGAAGAAGGGAGCGCGCTCAACGGGAGCATCTGGCTGGGCCCGTCCCCCAGCCCAACCTTGGGATAACCCTCCCTCTACGAACCTCCGACACCGGGGCTCTCCAGGGAGGGCCGGAGAAGCCAGAGAGGGGGCCCCCCCGCCGCCCGCGCCGCCCCCGGGCCACCCGCGCGGTGGACACCCGGACCTATATGGCCGAAGAAGCGGGCGCGGTCCGCCCCAGCAGCCCCCTCGGGATTAGATGTGAGGCGGGGTTTTATCCGTATCCACCGCCTGGGAACTAACGTCCTGGTGCCCCAGAGGACAGTGGGTATATATATATATATATATATATATATATATATATATATAGGTAGTCCCCAAACGTGGTGGTGACAACACCTGGCGGTGAGTCTCGGGCGATTTGGTGTCACCACCCGGTTTGGGGACTCGTGCGGTTTTCCGAGGATGTCCCGGACACTGGTGGTTCCAGGAGTCACAAAACCCGGTGGTGACCCCGCGTCCCCAAACCCAGCGGTGACCTCTGTGGGGATTCCAGGTCGCCACCTGGTATCTCACCACCCGGTTTGGGGGTTCCCAAATATATATATATATATATATATATATATATTATATTTATATTGGCCCCCGAGGACCCGAATATATCCATATCCACCGCCTGTGGCACGCGAATATTGATTCTCCAGGTGGTGGTTATGGATGTATTCCCGCCTCGGAATTAGAGGCCTCCTAGATGGGGTCCTAGTAGATGGGGTCGGAGGATCGCGCCACATCGCCGATACATCGGCGACGCATCGGCGATGCATCGGCCATGCGTCGGCCATGTACCGGCGATGTATCGTCGACATGGTCGATGCATCGGCAACGTTGACGTGAAGCAAGTCGGGCTCCGCATCGAGCCGCATCGCTGATGCATCGGCGATGCGGCGCGATCCTCCGACACCATCTACTCCGACCTCATCTCGGAGGCCCAGAGGGATGCAGCCTGGCTGCTGAAATACGAAAAAGCAAAATAAGGAACGAAGCCCCCTTCGTGGCACCAGAAGCTTAAAACTGACCCAGACCTCCCCTCGCGTCGTGGAAGAAGATCACGGTGCGAAGCTTTTCTCGAATTTCGGACTCCGCGGAGGCCCGCTCCGGGCCCCAGGACCGTCAACAAAAACGTCTCAGGATGAACAACCGGTTCTTGGGAAGAGGTCTGGCTGCTGAAATCCCAGGTCTACTCGCGTCGTGAAAAATCAAGGCGGGAGTTGTTTTTGCAATTTTTTCAACCTTTGGGTGGCCCTCGCCGGGCCCCAGGAGGCCGTCAACAAACGACTCACAGGGCGAACAACGGGTCCCAGGGAAGGGGTCCAGACCTCTGGGGGTCGGCGCTGTGAAAAAATCGCGACGTCGGGGGTCTGGGAATACGAGAGCGCAAAGGAATGAACGAGGCCCCTGTTTGGCACCAGCGGAGCCTGGGTGCACGAGGAGGGCTAGAGGCACAGCCACGGAGTGACCTTCAGGAACAACGAGACCCTTTCGGAACCCAAAGCGGATGGTGTTCCAGCGTCTTGGCTGCGGCTGGGCTCGGCCGAAGCACCTGGATATAAGCAGCTGATGTGCATCGGGCACACGCGGACATGGATCCCGGGCGTGATCGCGTCGTGGCAAAACAAAAAAAACTCGCGTCGTCTCCGGCCTCTGGGAGCCTTGGCCAGGCCCTAGGGCCGGCCACAAAAGACTCAAGATGAGGAACCGGCCCCGTGGCCCTGGGGGAAGAGTCGGGACTTCTGGGGGATCCGTATACCACATCAAAACATTGCATGGGGAGCGCGTTCTTATTCCGCGTTTCGACATTGGGCGGAAGGGGGTGGAGGAGGCGGGAGCTCCAGACCTCTGCTTAGACAGTTGGCAAAAGCGCGCCCTATGGGGGAGACTCCACCTGCTCGAAACAGGCGCCAAAAACAGCCAAGATCTACACCAGGAGGGTGGAGATAGGGGGGGGGGGGGGGCGAGGGTCCGCGCCGATCGGCAAAACAAGGAATACAAGGAATAAGAACACGATCACACGTCTGGGGTTCGGGATCTGTGGCTCTGGAGCGTTGGTGCCCGATCCACGCCTCGGGGAAGGCGCGCCCCGCGCACCTGGGGCCTGTGACCCGCCCGGCGTGGCGACGGAGCGCGCCGACGTTGTGTGTGGGAGCGGGGCCCGTGGCTAAGCCGCGCGCCCAGATCCGTGTGTTCGGTTCCTCCAGATGCGGTCTCCTCCTCCTCCTCCTCCTCCTCCTCCTCCTCCTCCTCCTCCTCCTCCTCCTCCTCCTCTATCCGATGTTCATTGGGAACGCTCGTCTCGGGGATTGCTGGGGAGGCGCCCCTGGCCCGACTTCCCCCCAAAGCCTGTCGCTCCATTCGGAAGCCCCTGGGCCCCTCTGGGCCTCGCGATGGGGTGCTCTCGGAGGCCGTGGGGACCTCCATGGAAACCCCCAGGCGGCACCTTGGGCCAGGGGCACCTCTAGCTGCCCACCTACCAGACCACCCCAACCCAACCCGAAAACCCGAATTTCGAGTTGGGGGGGCACGGGCTTCATGTGTGTGTGTGTTTCTCCATGTTCCCCGACCCCTCCAAGCTGGAAATGGAGGGCAAATCGGGGCCTTCGGGTTGGGTTGGGGTGATCTGATAGGCGGTAACTAGCAGCCTAAGAACAATACACGGCGCAGCATCTCTCACCACTCAGGGGTGCAGCTAGGCCGGCAGGCTGAATCAGTCCGAATCTGGTGAGCACCTGTGGGACTGTGGGACGTCCCACTCCCCGCCTAAGATGCGATGTCCTCCCCCTTCCTCCCCATCCCTCTGCGCCCCTCACTAGCCCGTTTTCTGAAACAAACAAAAAACAATATTCGCTATAACGCCCGTCACGTTCCCCCCCCCGGTCGCGTCACGATTCGTGCCGGCGCGGTGTAGGAATTGGCCATTCCTGAACATTGAGCATTTCCATGCGGCGCGGGCGCTGCCGCGAATCGTGACGTGACCGGCCCCTCCCCCCCTCCACCTCCCCGCGGTCACGCCCGTGATCGCCAGAAGGTAAAAGACGGTCTCGAGTCTCCTCACCTTCGTGCCCAAAGGGTCGCTGGCCTTCTGATAGGACGAAGGCCGAATCGAGACATATTCGGACCGATATGGATCGGAAATCTCTGGAAATCGGCGGGCTTGGAGGACGTATCGGGCGCCGCAGCCGTTTGAGAGCGGTCCGGAACGCTCTGGAAGGGATTTATCTCGATGCTGGGCCCGTCCGATCGGAGCCTGCAGCTCTCGTGACCAGAGCCAGAAAGCCGTCGCCACAGATCCGTTCGCCGCAACGAATAGAGAACCTGACAGCAGGCCCTCGAGGAGAGCGAGGGCCCCCCCCCCCCCACCCCCGACCGCCTGCGCGCCGTCGCGTCGCGGCCGACGATATACCTCCGCAGCCCGTCCAGCCACGAGCCGACGCCGCGCTGGACCTCCGGCGCGGCGAGCGCGTCCTCGGCCCGAGGCGCGCCCCCCCGCCGCCCTCGCGGCGCAGGCGTGCGCGCCGCCAGGAACGTGCCTAGATCTACTGCCGCGGGGGGCCGCGTCCCGTCCCTGATGGCCTCGCGTGGGCAACCAGGGAGGGCCCCCCAAACCCCCTGGGAGGGACAGGGGATCTGTTCTGCAGAACTATCGCACCAAACCGCCCAGGTCTAGTACCCCGAATGCAGAGACGGGGACCTCAATGAGGCCACGTCCTTCACTGTGTCACTGGGGTCAGGGGTCCTCCCGTTCCCGATTCCCTCGTGGCCGGAAGCGGGCCTCACCGAGGCCGGACTCCAGAAGAACGGGCCGCCAGGCTCCGTCTCGAGATGCCGCGGAGGTCTGGCCCCCTCCCCCGTCTGCAGCACCGGCCTCTTTGGACCTGCTCTGCAGGGCGCGGTCTGACCAGGAGTTCGGGGCGGCTCCAGACGAGCAGCCTCCTGGGGGCGCAGACAGCCGTGAAGCACACCCTCGAGCATCGCCACTCGAACCTGGGCGGCTTCGACCCCCCCCCCTCTCGATGAGAACCCGTCTTGGCAGCGAGGACGATCAGGCTTCGGGCTGAAGGGATACAGCCCCCCTCCTGGCAGTCCCGCCCCCCGAATGGTCCCAGCTGGCCTCAACGGGCCCCGCGAGTAGTCTGGGGTGGTCTCGAAATGCTGCAACTTGTTTGCCACGTCCGATGTCGGGGGCCTGTGCACAATCCGAAGCCTTCCCAGGCGACGAGCCTCAGGTCGGGCATGTCCTCCTACTGGCGGATTTCGGAAGAAACATAAAAAGTTGCCAACAAATGTCCACACATGGTCAAACAATAATCGACTAATCGTAACAAGACGATTTCTTGATGTCTGCATTCCCAGAGATCCGATGATGTGATTGTTCCGATGCGGTGTCTCCGGCAATCTCGACCCATTCCCCAGGACCAGTTTTTCAGCCTGAGCCGTGCTTTGACGGTCCCTGGGCCCGGCGCGGGCCCCTATAGAGGCCGAAAGCTGCGCAAAACCTCCGTCTTGTTTTTGTTCAATGCGTTGGACCTCTGGCTGTTCCTCCTGTGCAAAGGAGATGCCCGACTCAGGAGGAGCCCTCACGCGCCCCCCGGGGAGGCTCCCGCGGGGCCCTTCACGGCCTCGAGGCCCCCGCCCCCCGGAGGCCCCCGCCCTCTCCACGGTCGACCGCCCCGAGGCTCCGGGGCCACGGCCCTCCGCGGCCGAGAGCCGCAGGAGCGGAGGGCACGCGCACGACGGGCTGCAGCGGGGGGGGAACGAAGGGGGGCAGTGGCAGAGCCAGACGAGCCAGAAAAAGAACCCTGAAACATGATCTCAACATGGTACAACCAGGAGCATACTAAAACAAGAGCATCATGCGACTGGTGATGGCAAATCCGGATGAGCAAGAAGGAGGAATTAGAAATATAATACCAAAATCGTACGACTGGGAATGGCAACCTTCGTGATAGCATGACGAATCAGAACGGAAACACAAATAATCGGAATCCTGATCCGAAACATGACCAGAAGAAGCGAAGAGGACGAGAGAAGATGCGGAAACCTGGGGAGGAAGGAGGAGAATGGACGAGAACAGGAAGAAGAGGAAGAGGAAAAGGAGGAGGAAAAGGAGGAGGAGGAGGAGGAGGAGGAGGAGGAAGAAGAGCCCTCCTGCACGGCCCGGCCGGTCTCCGTGCCCTCGAACTCCGCCCGCAAGAAGATCAGCCCGTCCGGCGGCGCCCGCGGCGTCGCGCAGCGGACCCGGCGGTCCAGCGCGGCCGGGAGGAACGCCAAGGGGACGAGGCCCTGCGCGACCTCTCCGGCGAAGGAGGGCGGACGGGAGGGAGGGAGGGAGGAAGGGGACGAGGGAGAAGGGGAGGGGAAGGTGTTGGAGGCTTGCGGGAGGAGAGGGACGAGGGAGAGGGGGAGGGGAAGAGGTGGGAGGGAGGGAGGGAGGGAGGGCACGAGGGGGAAAGGGGAGGGGAAGGGGCGGGAGGGAGGGATGGAGGGCACGAGGGGGAAACAGGGAGGGGAAGGGGTGGCAAAGCACCGATCCGAAAATGAGGCCAACGATGAAGCGGGAACACCATTTTGAAACACCGAAAACAATCGGAATGTAAAACAGCAAAACGTCGGAAAGACAACCTTTCTCCAAATTCTCCAATACGCGGAGAGAACAGGCTATATTCCGGACAGGGTCAGGAGAGAGACGAGGGTAGCATTCACAATGAAAGTGTAGAGGGGGGGCCAACGATGTGCGCTCGAGCCATATGTGGCATCCTACCCCTCGCACCCATCCTTTCCAATGTCGATGCTATGTTCTCTCCATCCGCCAACGGGTGTCCTAGCGGACATGGGTCACCCAAGCGACCCCATCGCGTGAGGCGCCATCAGAAAGGGAAGCTGTATACCTTGGGGAAGGAAGTGGCGGATGGGCAGGAGGACGTGCAGGAGGAAGAGGAGAAGAACGAGGAAGGATGAGGAACAGCAGCAGGAGCTGGCTGAGCGGGAGGAGCAGGAAGAGGGGAAGACGTAGGGGGGGAAAGGGACGGGGGCGATACCAACGAGGAAAGACTCGGATCCAGAAGTGTGGCCCGCGCTGGCGCGAGAGCGAGACTCGGAACGGCGAGAACAGAGCGCCCGATCCCGAGGTGAGGCCAGCCCTGCAGCGGGTCAGCCCCGCAGCGGGTGCTCCATCTGCGGACGAAGGCAAACGTCCCGACTGGACGCGTTCCTACATAGAATTACCTGGTGCGGGAGAAGCAACGTGCGGCAGAGGAGGGTCCACGACGTGAACTGGTTCAGGGGTGGGAGGAGAATAGTGCCCACGCTGAGTAATGGTAGAGGAGGGGGGAGCAAGGGAGATTGGGGAGTGGGGGAGGGGCAAGCTAGGTGCGCAAGCGTCTTATCTGATGTCCCCTCCCTCCCTCCCATGCCTTACCATGTCGTAGGTCTCCTCTCTACTCGCGAAGTCGGATGTCGTAGCATGGCATAGCACTACATGGCATAACATGTTGTTGAGGATCAACGCGTAGCATGACATAGCATGGCGTGGCACTGCGTAGTCAAGCACTGCATGTCATAGCATTGCAGCTGAAGGCATGGCATCGCACAGCGGAACACACCATAGTATTGCATTGCATGCCCATGGCATGGCACTGGAAATGAGGCCAGCGCTGCAGCGGGAGCACGATTCGGAACGAGCGGAAGCGCGGAAATGAGGCCAGCGCTGCAGAGGGAGCACGATTCGGAACGAGCGAAAGCCCGAAAATGATGCCAGCGCTGCAGCGGGAGCAACACTTGGGAGGACCGGAAAGAAACGGATGTGTAAGCACACCTCTGAAAGACCAACTCGCCGGGATCCTGCGTGTAACAGTAAACAGTGCGCGGAGGGCGGCCGGGCAGAGTCAGGGGAGAGAGGAGAGCAGAATTCATCTTGTAGTCGCAGAAGGAAGGACGGAAAGGGGGGAGAGAGGGGGAGGGGGGAGAGCGAGGGACGGAGAAGGAGGGCGAGGGAGCAACGGACGCAGCGGGACGGGGAGGGGCCTGCGTGGGCGCCTCCCGGTCCCCCTGGGCCTCTCCGACGGGGGGGGGGGGCCCTCGTCGCCACGGCTGGCCTCGCCTCTCGCGATCCTGGTCGGAGCTCTCCCGGGGAGAGAAGTCGGAGGCCGCAGGAGGAGGAGGGGGAGGGGGAGAAGGGGGAGGAGGAGGAGGAGGAGGAGGAGGAGGAGGCCGAGGCGGAGGAGGAGGAGGCGGAGGCGGAGGCGGAGGCAGGAGGCACAACCTCATAGTAAGCAACCCGACAAGCGAAGCGCCTTCCTAACAGCGCCTCGAAAAAGGGGGCGTCGGGCTGGGCAGGGCTGCTCATCATGCGCAGATGCCGAGGGCTGTTTGGTGAACGCCAGTCATGGGGGGTCGGAGTGTTTTTTCCTCTTTTGCTCCCCTGATCGGGGGCCGCGTGTGCTCCTTCTGGATCTCTGCTCGGACCTCTGACGGCGCACACCAGAGAGGGGCGGTGCAAGACGAGCGGCCGTCGGGGCCTCTCGGGGAGGGGGGGGTCGGCCTCGTCAGACCAATGACGCACACACACACACTCTCTCACACACAACGCACACACAACGCACACACACACACACACACACACACACACACACACACACACACACACACACACACAACACACGCATTTTGGCGTCGCGGCCGCGCGCGCAGCGACGCGGCGAAGCCAGTCAGCAGGTGGAGAGGAGAGGTGGAGCGCGAGCTGGGCACTCGCGCAGCGGGCACTCGCGCAGCAGCCAGGCGGGGTAAGGCAGGGCTCACCCATACGCAAATCCCAACACACAATCACGCACACACACACACACACATACATACACCACACACACCACACACACACACGCGCGCGCACGCACGCACGCACGCACGCAGGAACACACGCACACACACACACACACAACACGCGGCGTGGAACACACAGGCCAGATCACGCGGCGTTGGGACACACGCACACTCACAACACAACACAACACAACACAACATAATACAACACAACACAACACAACACAACACAACACAACACAACACAACACAACACATACAGCACACACATAACACAAAACACACACACACGCGTACACACACAACACACACAACACACACAACACACAACACACAACACACAACACACAACACACAACACACAACACACAACACACAACACACAACACACAACACACACAACACACAACGCACACCACACAACACACACACACACTTGTTTTCTGATGCGGAGCGAAACATCCCTGGCCGATGTTGAGACCACCCTGAACTACCAAAACGAAAGGTGAAACGACAAAGAAGTGCCGCGGTGAACGCCGAGTGGCGCCACAAGACAGGCGGCCTGGATACTGAAATGGGACGACCACAGCACCCCGGAAAGCAGCAGGCGGCAAAGCCACAGCCCAGGGGACGATCACGGCACCCCCAGGAGCGCGCGACGAAGCCAGAACACACCACAAGGGGCGAACACGGCAGCCCAGAAAGCAAACCTCGTGCCCAAGCAGCACAAGTTAACACACACGCGCACACTTTCGGTCGTCGCGGGCTGTGCCTGGCCGCAATCCGCTCGTCGGTCGCGCAGGCGCGAGCGTGAGGGCTAAGCAGGAAGCGCACGCACGCACACACACACACAGACACACACACACACACTTGGCTTGGCGTCGCGGCCACGCGCGCAGCGGCGCGGCGTAGTCAGTCAAGCGGAAGAACGCGCGCGGCCAGGCCAGATCACGCGGCGTTGGGACACACGCACACACACAACGCAACACAACACGCACACACACACACACACAACACACACACACACACGCACACACACACACACACACCTAAATACACACGTACACACACACACACACACACACACACACACACACGCGCACCCTCCGCCTTCTTCTGGTGGGCGGGGAGCGGAGGCTCTTCTCCGAGGCCAGCGCGCAGGGCGAGGGGATGCCCCTGGGCGCACGCAGAGGGGAGGGGGGGGGCCCTGCGTGCGCCCGGACATCCGAGGGCACGATTTGCTCAGCCCGCCGCCCCAGACAGCCCGAGCCCTTCCCTGGGGGCAGTTGCTCGTCCCGCACCCGCTTGGGATGGTGCCAGGGCCCGCCAGCGGGCTCCCCGAGGCCGAACCCGAAGACGCACGCTGGGATTGCAAAAAAAAATCATACCGTCGGAGCTCTGAGCTGCTATGGCTTCGGATGCTCTCTTGGCGTCTTCGGGGGAGAGTCCGCGGGCATGTCCGCAGGCCCTCGGACCTGCACGGCCGTCCCGAGCATCTTCCTGATCTGGTACCCGTGGTGAGTTGGCCGCCCCCGGACCTGACACCTGGGCGCCTCAAAAGCCCCGCAGCTTTCAGGCGGGTGGCAATGGGAGGCTGACTTCAATGGGGGGTGAAGCAAAAGCCCCTACGAGGGCCCATTAGAGAGCCCTTTTGGAGCCAACAGCGGCCCTCGAGGGCCCTTTCGGGCCTTTTTCTTCACCCCCCATTCCGGTCAGCCCCGATTGCCACCCGCCGGCACTTACCCTTTTGCCCCAGCCCGGGCCCCGGGACCCTCTTGCGGCTCGGCTGGGCTCGGCACACAAAGCGCAGGGAGGAGCCCGGAGCTCCGGCGTCGGGAGCTCCGGCCGCGATCCTGCACGACGCTGCGCCCACGGCGCGGTGGCGGCTGCTGGGGCAGGGCCGCACCAGCCTCCGACCAGCAACAGCCCACCACTGCTCCTCCTCCTCCTCCTCCTCCTCCTCCTCCTCCTCCTCCTCCTCCTCCTCCTCCTCCTCCTCCTCCTCCTCTCCTCCTCCCCCTCCACAATTACTCAATATGAATATACTCTCCCTCTTCCCCTGATGGCGTCCGGGTGATAGCCGCGCACCCTCCGCGTACTGTTTTTTAACACACAGGATGCCCGAAAAATCCCGGGAAACGACTCTCGCTGAGGCGCCGGCGTCATTTTTTCTCAAAATGCTGCTCTCGCGCCGGCGTCATTTTTTCCCAAAATGCTGCTCTCGTTGAGGCGCCGGCCTCATTTCTGCTCCCGAATCCTTCCCCTGATGGCGTCCGGGTGATAGCCGCGCGCCCTCCGCGTACTGTTTTTTTACACACAGGATGCCCGAAAAATCCCGGGAAACGACTCTCGCTGAGGCGCCGGCGTCATTTTTTCCCAAAATGCTGCTCTCGTTGAGGCGCCGGCCTCATTTCTGCTCCCGAATCGTTCCGAATCGTGCTCCCGCTGCAGCGTGGGCCTCATTTTCGGATCGGTGTTTGGCCTCCGTCGTTCAGGATGGCGTTCTCGCCCCAGCGCGGGCCTTTTTCTCGCGCGCCCATCCGCCCGCCACCACCGCGCCGCACCGCCACCACCACCACCACCACCACCACACCACCACCAGCACCAGCACCAGTACCAACACCACCACCACCAGCACCACCACCAGCACCACCACCACCACCAGCACCAGCACCAGCACCAGCACTACCACCACCACCACCACCACACCACCACCACCACCACCACCACCACCACCACACCACCACCACCACCACCACCACCACACCACCAACCACCACCACCACCACAAACCACGCACACACACGCACGCACGCACGCACGTGCACCACCACCCACTACGCACGCGCGCGCGGAGCCACAGGTCCGCTACGACACGCGTCCGCGGATAGAGAAAATCAGCGCCATGGTAAGGGATGGGAGGGAGGGGTAGGACGTCAGATATGACGCGAGCGCACCTAGCTTGTCCTCCTCCTCCTCCTCCTCCTCCTCCTCCTCCTCCTCCTCCTCCCACCCCCCGAGCGGGACCTGCCTCCCGGCCTCTGGAGGGTAGGCTCGGCTCTTCCCTAGGGCCCCAACAGGCTCTCATTCCGAGATGTCCGGCGTTGCGACACTGTTGCAACCTGCGGAAAAACCTTGTGGATGCCATGACAATGGACACTCTAACAATCCTAGCATTGAATTACAAAAAAGAGTTAAAATTGTAAAGCATGTTCTAAACAGACATGTTTCAAATCTGTTTTACGTGTTTAAATCATGTCTGAAACATGTTTTAGACCTGCTTCCTCCTCATTAATCGTCCTCCACAAGAAAAGCTACGACCAAGGCCCTGGACCCCGCCCTGCCGCCAAATTTTTCGGGCCCCGAGACGTTCAATCTGAGATCCGACAGTTGGGACACCGTTGCAACCTGCGGAAGAACCACGACCGAAGCCCTGAACCCCTTGCTTCCGCCAAATTTGACCGATGTGTGCTGACCCTGGGGCCCGAAACCAGGAGAAGCAGCCCAGCGTTAGAAAGTGCAACGCCAGGATTCCAGGGCAGGGTGGCCCACTGAAACCACGGATCTGGTAGGCGAGGAAGCTGTCGGCGGACACGAGGATCGGCACCCACTCCTGGCCGTGTTCGTCTACGAAGGGCGCTCCGCAGTCGATCCGCCGAATATTCCGCTGGCCCCCGTCCCCCAGGAATCCCTTGTCGTCCTGGGCGGAAGCGCTGGTGAAGTTCCCGAACCACCTCAAGAGCGAGGAGCGAAAAGGACGACAAAAAGGACGGGCGGGAAGGATGACAGTTCCCCAGCCACGGTGGGGGGACGGAAAAGAGAAAGGGGAGGAGGAGGAGGAGGAGGAGGAGGAGGAGGAGGAGGACGGCGACGACGACGAGGGCGAGGAGGAAAAGGAGGGAAGGGCAGAGCAAGCTCCCGAACAACATCGGGGAGGACGAGGAAAAGGGACCCCCGCCCTGCAGGAGTTGAGAAGGCGGATGAGAGGAGTGGCTGTCCACCCCCCCGCCCCAAAAGCCCCAAAAATCTAAGAGGTTAGCCGGCGTTGGGCCCGTAGGCCGTGTTTTCTTAAAACCCGCGTGGTGCAATCCATTTCTGCCATCCCATGCGCTGTCCACGGCACTGCTCGCACAACCCCCCCACCTTCCCACCCGCAACTTGGTTTGCAAAACCCATGCGGCTGCACTGCCGGTACTTGCTTGGCCATGCCCCCGCATCTGGACGGTCGCGCCGGCGCGCGCAAGCCCGCGCTCAGAGCGGGCAGTTGGTCCGGCACAGCCGATGCGGTAGACATGGCGTTTACCGAGAGCAACGTCCCAGCGCGCGTCAGAAGCCGTGCCAGCGCGCGGGCACCTTCAGTGCGGATCAGTGGGTCGGGGGGGCGCGGTCTCGCGCTGACGCCGACAATGGCGGCTACGATGATGATGATAGTAGCGATGGTGTTTGCGGTGACGACGATGACGGCGCGACATCCACTCATCAAGAATCTGAGCTGCAGCATCGTCACCAGCCTGCCTACGGGCTCCAGCAACATGCGACGCCCCCACCTTCGGCTTCTAGCGCGCCGCTGCGAAGGACACCTTCGACGTTCCAGCGAGGGGATGCCGGGCGAAGGGCCGCCGCTGCTTGGCCAGCTCAGCTTCGTCCTCCTGTTGACGAAGCAAAACTCACCAGGAAAAGTGTCGTGAAACCGCTCTGTCAGACTGCCCCCACGCGCTGCATGGTCGATCCACTTCACCACCTGGAGCTCCGCCAATACGTGCGAACCGCCAAGCGGGGCTCGGATGGAAAGCTGCTTGAGAGTACCCACTAGCCTTTCATATGGGTCCGCGCGTCGGCGCTTCGACCGTGGATCGGTTTCTACCCAGGCCTCGAGCTGCTCCCGCAACTTTAGGGCAGATCCCCGGACAGACGCGGCGTCCGTCCCGACGCAGTGCTGGCGGCGGTGGAGGCAGGATGCGAAAACGAGGCACGCCAGCTCTGCCCAGGCAATCCACCCCTCGGCCTTCTCGCTTCTCGAAGCACTTGAACCAATCCTGCAGAGAACCGCTGGTATCCGCAGACGGCTGCGAGGACATCTGGCAGTCAGCCTCGAACCTTTCGGGCCAGACCCTTCTGAATCCGCCGATCAGGCGTGCGAGCTACAAGGAGCCTCAACCAGAGCTTCAGCTCTGAGCCGAAGCAAGAGCTTCAGCTCTGCTTGGGGTGGGTCGCCGGGGTGGCTCTGCCTGGGAAGGGGGGGAGGGGGGGGGGGGGGGGGGGGGGGGGGGGGGGGGGCATTTGGCGTTTCTTAATGATTTGCGCATCCGGACCCCCTCCCCGGGGATTGGGGGGGAGGGGGGGGGGCGGTCCCCCACCTGGCGTTTTCTTAATCACTTGCGCATCCCCAAAATGTTTCGGGGGGTCCCAGGGACCCCCCTCAGATCTAGTTGCAACCGCCCCCAGGACCCTCCCCCCCTCGGAACCCTCCCCGGACCACCCCGGGACCGCTCCAGGCACCACCACCCCAGAGGAGAAGAAAGAGGACCCGAAGAATCGAAGAGGAGGAGGCCACGGAGCCGCGCAGATCACCGAATCCGGAGCCCACCGGATCGGTGGCACTGGCCAGAGGCCATTACAATAAAGGGGGAACACCTCGGGCTGCACTTCTTCCCGAATCTTAAGATCCTGGGCCAGCTCGTGAATGCTCAATGCCACCCGGGACTGGATCGAAGCAGGACCACCCCTAGGACGACCATATGGAGCGAGCACGCGTCAAGCAAACTGGGCTGGACAAACAAATCCCTTACATACACTCCGCGCTTACCACCGAAGAAGCGCGAATGCTGCCAGTGGCAAGCTCAAGCCAGCTCGCCTGAAGTCGGCCCCCTGGGTCCACGTTTCGGTCCCCAGCCAGGGCGCGCAGCTATCTGGACCCAGGATCACCGAGGCCAGGTAGTCCAGGAGCTCCAAGCCCCGCGCCCCATCACCCCGACCGTCGTGGCCGCGTGGGCAGGCCCAGTGAGAATCGCGCGGTCCACCGCCACAGCGCCGAAACGAAATGGCACCGTATGCTGCCAGAACTTGGGAACGTCAACCTCAACCTTGACACCCGAGGCATGCGCGGTGGCAATAGGTACCCCGCCGGCAAATCTCCGACGCACCTGCGCCCGAGCAGAGGCTCGGACCAGCCGAACGGCGCACATCACCTGTTTCCGACGCCACTGGTGGGCAGAAGGCTCCGCAGCCTCTCCAGAACACCTGGTCTCTTGGATGCGCGCGACTGCTGGGAAGCGGCCATGCGCGTCCAACCATATGAGCGCATCCTTCCCTGAAGCCTAAGCGCTGGTGCTGAGCGACGCAAGCCGGAAGCGCGCCTGAGTCGAGCCGTCCCCGATCGGCACCAACCCCGCCAGCTTCAAGTGCTCGGTCTGGCCCTCCAATGACACCAGCTGCTGGGAGCCCGTCTGCGCAAGCTCCTTGCTGGAACGTCGGTCACCGCGCCGGGCCCGCCCGGCCACGCGCACCGCCAGGCTGTCTCCACACTGCCCGAGGGTTGATCGGACCCAAGAGCGCCGTCAGGCCCGCCTGACCACGCGCGCCGCCGAGCTGTCTTCACACAAGTGCCTCCGCTGGCCCTGGAGCGCACCGCAGTCTCGCTCCTCCTCCCCCCCCTCCCCCCCTCGCTGGCGCGCCGCCAAGCAGTCGGGCCTCGAGGCCCCGCGGAGCACTGCGCTGGGCAGCGCTGCTGGAACCTTGGGCGCGCGGGCTCGTGGGTGCCGCTTTCGGGCACCGTGGCAAACACCCGCGACAAGCAGAACGCTGCCCTCGCGAAGGATTGTTCTGGGGATGGGGTCGGGAGATCCAAGGAGCCCTGGACCGAACCCACCGCTGCTGAGTTGTTGCGCACCCGGGCGCCAGCGGAGACTCGGCCCGCTCTCTGGCAGACTGAGGGGGATTTCGACGAAACCAGGACTAGGACAGAAATGGGTGAAGGTATACCAAGAATCTCTGAGGTCCGGCGGCTCTGGAGAATGTCTCGGGCGCCGCGGCCTCCTCAGAGCGTTCCGGAACGCTCTGAGGCTCTGAGAAACGTTCCGGAACGCTCTGAGGATGCCCTGGTTCGAAGTAAGGGATCGGCTGCATAATCGATGTACCCCAAAACTGAGGTTGCTTGTCGACTTCATGGAGAGGGCGCAGAGCTTTGGTAGGCCTACGACAATTCAACGTATGCGTCTGGGTGGATTCGACGACAAGATTCTCATGTTGCGGTCGGTCGATCAGTTCTGCAGTCGATCCCCTGCTCGACTGGCCCTGGGGAGGGGCCAGCCGTCCAGGCACGCCTGCAGGCCTGTCGCGACGTGCTCTTGGAGCAGAAGCCTGCTCCAACACCGAGATCCACACGCTCACAGGGCAACGCATCGACGCAGGAACACACTGCTGCCTCAGCCAGATGTTTTCTCTACGTCACTAACAATGGAGAGCCGTGGAGGGCAAACCACAACAAGTTCTCAGAGCATTCGTTGATGGGCCTGTACGTTCTTAATAAATCAAGACGCTTCGCCATGGTTTGATGGTCGGGGCTTGGGGGGAACGCGCCAACATAGGCCAGAGCTGGGGCCCCAGGTCAGCCCAGAGACTTGCTAATGATGCCCTGCTTCCGCCTCCCCGAACGCCGCCGACGTCGACCAAGGGTTGGCCTGCAGCAAGTTGGGTCCAACAAGCAGTTGGGCCAACGGTGGGACGCGTCCGTAGCTAGTCGCGGTGACAGCACAGGAGGGGCATGAAGGGAGGAGGAAGCGGCTGGCCGCAGAGCGGCCAGAGAGCTCTCAGACACCCGACGTCGAACAGCTGACTTCAGAATGCACCTGTGCACCACCCGCCGCCAGGCCTGGCCAGGACCACCCAGATCCCTGGCACGGTGGCTGCGTTGCACACGTGGCCCATTCGGAATCCATTCCCACGCGGCCGCCTCGACCCCCGGAAGTGGTCCAGGGCCTCCTGCAGCAGCCGCAGCCCCTCTGGCCGCACCCTGGCCGCCCGAAGCCCCGCGGCCGCCCCGATCGCCTCGGCGTCCTCCGCGCGCGCGCGCGTTGGAGGCGGCCACCCGCACCCTCCCCGCCGACGTTGCCGCCGTCGCCGCCAACGCCGTCGCCGCCGACGACGCCGTCGCCGCTGCAGCCGCCGCCGCCGCCGCCTTCGCCGCTGCCGTCGCCGCCTCCGCCGACGCCTCTGCCGCAGCCGCCGTCGCCGCCACCGCCGTCGCCGTCGACGCAGTGGCCGCTGCAGCCGCCGTCGCCGCCTTCGCCGCCGCCGCCGCCTCCGCCTCCGCCGCAGCCGCCGTCGTCGTCGAGGCGGGGCTGCGCGTCCTCCGGCTCGAGGGCCCCGCCGGACCGCCCCGTGGCCGCGGCGCGCTCGGCCTCTGAGGAAGCCAGAGGACTTGCCACCGCTCGGAGACGTCCATTTCGCGTGCATTTTTTTGTCGTTTCCGCGGGAGCTTTCTTTTTGCTCGATCATCCAGGACGCTCCTCGAGGGTCCTCGCCGAGCACGGATCAAATACCCACACGTCCGAGCGATGCCAAGAGGAGGCCCGGGTGTGTCACACACCCGATCCCTACCCCCACCAGCCATCCATCCTCCCTCATAGATGGGGGGCGGGGGCAGCTGGGCTTCGGACTTCCCTGAGATCCGACGCTGCGAAAAAGTTTACACATCGCGAGAAATCACGCCCGGAGCCCCGGACCCCGTCCTGCTGCTCAATGTCTCGAGCCGGCCCGATTTTTAAGGGCCCCGGGGCCCGAGATGGGGCGTCAACGCCCGTGATGAGCAATTTGCAGAGCCAGGATCCTCCTCCTCCTCCTCCTCCTCCTCCTCCTCCTCCTGCTCGTCGGACTTCGCCACGTGCTCGGCGCATTCTCCCAGCGAGTGGCCCGAGCTGCAGATCTCGGCGAGAGCCCTCGGGGCTCGGCGCCCGCCGCCGTGGCAGGGAGCGCCCCTCGAGCAGGTCGCGGTGCCCGCGGCGGGTCCACGGCGGCGGCCCGCCCCCACGGAGACGGCCCGCGAGAGGAGAGGCCACGCCCCGTGGAGAGGTCTCGACCCGGACCCCCCTAGGAGCACTCCAAGAGAGAGCGCTCCCCAGACCCAGAGGCCCAGGGATCGACTGCCTTGACAACAACGCGCAGGTCTTTCGCAGCGTTCGGCCTCCAGGGGCCCTCGCCGGGCCCCAGGACCGTCAAAGAACGACTCGGGTTGGAAAAAAACGGCCCCAAGGAATGGGTCGAGACTTCCGGGGACCCCGTAGCGAAAAAGTCACAACATCGGATCTCGTGGGAGAAAGACCTACCTGCCCTGCTCAAAACCTCGCCTGGGACTTGGTAGATGGCGAGGCACTCCCGAACCCCTTCCAGGAGGGCTACAAGGCGGCCAAAACCCGGCAGCACGACCTCGACGTCCAAATTCCTGTCGAGGTTTTCTGGGCAGACCAGACAAGACTACCAGTCTGGAGGCCTAATTAGAGGCGGCCTCCTAAATGGGGTCGGAATAGATAGACTGAACCGCGCCGCATCGCCGATGCATCGGCGATGCATCGGCGACGCATCGGCGATGCATGAGCGATGCGCTGGCGATGCAGCGTCGACGTGGGCGATACACCAGCGACGTCGATGTGAAACAACTCGGGCGCCACATCGAGCCGCATCGGCGACGCATCGGCGGTGCGGCGCAACTCTCCGACCCCATCTACTCCGACCCCATCTAAGATGCCCAGACTAATTTCGAGCCCTCTGGAATAGGTCAGGGCTGCATGGGACCTTTTTTTTAAGCGCCCGGAATGGGTACGATGCCCAACAACAAGTGTGCACGTGTTGTCCAAAAGCGACAGCGGCCGCGGTTGCGCAAGCCGCAAATTGCACCACTTCTATTACACCAAAAAATACTGCACCACCTGCATTCTCCCTTTTTGAAAAAGAGCAGATTCTAACCCCCCCAGGGGGGTATCCCCCCTGGTCTTCTTACTGTAACTTACAAATCCTTCTCGCCCATCGCCCACCCTAAGTTTAAATTCGCACCATCCCAAAGGGGGCCGGTCTCGACCCCCCCCCCGCGATCCCCTGCAAAAAAAGTTATGCGCGCACACTCGTTCATCACAAATCATCAGTGGTCAAAAAACCCCTTGCCAACAAACAGCGTGACGAAATGCACACGCGCGCGTTGTCGCGCGCGTTCCGAAATCCTTGAAGAACCTTCGGTTTCGTAAGGATACCAAAGTCGATTGTCCAATATATACATACATATACACATACATACATACATACATACATACATACATACATACATACATACATGCATGCATACATACATACATACATACATATATAACTCCTGGTGTCGCAACAGTTTTTTGCAACATGATTTGCGCGGTTGTGCTAATTCCAGAAAAAATGTTCAACAAGTACGTACATGCTACCGAACGGGCTTCGCACGCGCGCATGCCGAATTCGTTCGAATGCCCTTGCGCGGGTGCTGTCGCAATAATCCTCTTGCAAAAAAAAAAAAAAAAAAAAAACGGAACGATGTGCACACGCTCGCGACGTCGCGCGCGCCTGCCGAAACCACTCAAAAACACTCGGTTTCGCAAGGATTGCAACATCGAGTGCCCAAAGCACATGTATGTGTATATATATATATATGAAGCACATGGCTTCGCAACACTGTTTCAAGGAAGCCTGCGTTCGAGCTTTTGCGGGTTCTGCAGAAAATCTAAATGTTTTTCTCAACATGATCATTGAATTATGCACAGCGGGCCTCTCGCGCCGCATGCCAAAATCATTCGAACGCCCTGGCGCGCGTGCTGGGGGGGCACGATCCGTGTCAAACAAGACCATGCGGCCACTGTCGCGCGCCAGACGAACACGCATGTCGAACTCCTTCCAAAACGTTCATCACCGACGCGGGGACGCCGTCATCGTCGTCGGCGTGACCAGCATCGGCGCCGTCACTGGCCGTGCCGTCGTCGCTGTCAGCATCATCACCAGCACCGTTACTATCATCATCGTGTCCACCGCTGTCGGCGTTGCCATGATACCGTGCCCGCCCAAGTCGCAGACTCGCACTGAAGTGCCCGCTGGAATGTGCCGAGCGGTCAGCGCCACTGCGGCCGAGCCGGCCGCGCCAACCAAACTGGCCACTGCGCGCGCGTGCATGCGCGGGTTGGCGCGGCCGCAGAGATGCACCAGCCAGCGCCAAGCACGCATCGCAATCGCCGCCGCATGGGGCTTGCAAACCAACTTGCAGATGGGTGGGTGAAATGTCTGCGCGAGCAGTGGTTTGGAGAACTTTTTTTGCGAACAGCAACTAAATTCTCCTTTCTCAAAGAAAATAATAGACTCTACCCCCCCCCTCCCGGACTTATCAGCTCCCCCTGGGATAATATAATTTCATATATATATATGTGTGTATGTATGTATGTGTATATATACACATATATCTACATATATATATATATATATGTATATATATAGGTGTGTATATATATATATATATATTATGCACACTCGTCCATCCTAAATCTGAAATCATATCATCCCAGCCAGGCCGGGCTCCCCCCCCTGAGGTTCCCTAGTAAAAAAAACACTATACGGTGACATTTTTTGTTCAAACGAAACACTTTTTCGAAAATCCCTTGCCAAAACATATAACGAAGTGCACACGCGCGCGTCGTCGCGCGCGCATGCCGGAATCCTTCGAAAACCACAGGTGCCGGAAGGATTTCGCAATCGAGTTTCCCAAAAAAACATACAAAAACACATGGTTTCGCAACACTGATTTGCTAAAAAAGCTTCCGCGCGAGCTCTTGCGAAATCTGAAGAAAACCATAGGTTTTTCAATATGTTCACAAAATGATACCAAACGGGCTTCGCGCGAGCGCATGTCAAAATCTGTCGAACGCCCTTGCGCGTGTGCCGTCGCGAGAATCCTCTGCAAAAAAACGAGACGAAGTGCAGACGCGCGCGTCGTCGCGGGCGCATGCCGAAAACCTTCAAAACACATCGGTTTCGGAAGGATTTCAAAATCGTGCGTCCAAAGAACCTACAAAAACCTAAGGTTTCGCAACACGGATTTTCTACAAAAGCGTGCGCACGCGCTCTTGCGTCGTCGTCGTCGTCGTCGTCGCCGTCCTCCCTCCTCCCGCGTCGTCGTCGTCGTCGCCTACGTCGTCCTCTGTCTTTTCTCGTGTTCGTCGTCGTCGTCCTCTTTGGCGTCGTGGTCGTTTCCGTCGTCGTTGTCGCCGTGGTCGTCCTTCCTCCTCCTCCCACGTCGTCGTCGTCGTCCGTCGTCGGCGTCTCGTCGTCGTCCCTCCTATTTCGTCGCCGTCGTCGTCGTCGTTGTCGTCGTCGCCTTCCCTCCTCCCTCGTCGTTGTCGTCGTCGGCGTCGCCGTCCTTCCTCCTTCGTCGTCGTTCGCGTCGTCGCCGTCCTCCCTCCTCCCTCGCCGTTGTCGTCGTTGTCGTCGTTGTCGCCGTCGTCGTCCTTCCTCCTCCATCGTCGTCGCGTTCGTTGGCGTCGTCGTCGTCTTCGTCGTCGTCGGCGTCGGCGTCGTTGTCGTCGTCGAAGTCGTCGGAGACGTCGTCGGTGTCGTCCTAGTCGTTGTCGTCGGTGTCGTCGTAGTCGGTCTTAACAGGTTTTGCAAACCAAGTTGCGGGTGGGTGGATGGGATGTTTGCGCGAGCAGTGGAGATGACGACTTCAAGTTCAGCAGAGTGGCTGACCCAAATATTGCCCCACATAGATTGCATATGTTATGCTGCACCACATAGTTTGCCCAACATAGGTGGCATCAGCTATGTTGCACAACCTAAGTTGCACCACGCAAGTAGCAAAACATATATTGCACCACATACATTGCACCACACATTTTACCCCACCTAAATTGCACAGAAGATATTGCACAAACTGCATTGCACCACCTAGGTTGCACCATATTGGTTAAAGAGCAGGCATTGCACCACAGATTGTACATCATAGATTGCACCACATAAGCTGGACTACACAGACCGCTCCACATGCATTGCACAACATCAGAGTGAGGGGGCCGAACGGTCATTCACTGTCCCTTGGTGCGTGGCTGCAGTGGGGATCCACGGCGAGGATTCTGTTTGTTTTGTTGCGCCGCCCCCCCGCGACCAGCCCGCGACCCACCCGCGACCCACCGCGACCCACCCCGCGACCCACCCGCGACCCACCCGCGACCCACCCCGCGACCCGCCCGCGATCCACCCGCGACCCACCCGCGACCCACCAGCGACCCACCCCGCGAACCACCCGCGACCCACCCCGCGACCCACCCGCGACTCATCCGCGAACCACCCGCGACCCACCCTGTGACCCAATCACGTTGCTTTAATGAAAACCTTTGCCTGCGGAGGGCTCATTGTATACTTTGTAATAGTTAGGCGCCTGCGGCGGGTTTCTTCAGAGCCTCGCAGACTGCAGAC